CTGTTTTCAGTGCCTGTCTGTGCTTCCACCCATCTTGGTTCCCCTAATATTTTCACCACGGCAAAGGACAGAACATTTGGATGATGCTGACTGTTTAGTACGTTAGTTTTTGGGCTTGAATGTCTCTAACTCGTCTTACTTTTATGCTGTCAGCCGTAGATGCATCACGTCGGTCCCACCTAACTTTAAAGCTACCTAAGTAGTCCGTAGGTCCGCCTTTTTAGACACCCACTAGCGTAGGCGGATGGAAGATCATATCACCAATTTCTTCGCTAAATTGTATCTTAGTTCCTTTAGGTTGCATAGAATTTGAAAAGGGCTGTTCCTACGTCTTAGTTGTGCAACATTCCCAGAGCCTTTCGAGGCAGCCAAAACAATTTTATTTGAAAACATCTATTCACAAAAGAAACATGCATTGCAAAATTGTGGTGTCAAGGCACTGTGTAAGTGAGGATGCATCCAAGTAGCCAAGTAGCAATAAGTATAGTTTAGTAGATTTTGTGGTCTCCAACCTCCTATCGTTACCAAAACAAGCGAACGTGCGTCATTTGGATGCCATTTCACCGTCATAAAAACGAGTCAGTGTTTTAAGGGGCAACTTTCCCCAATTTCTCCAAATGACATACGTGGGAACGAATGCAACTGTTTGAATAAAGTGGAGGTATAGAAGCTGCGGTTCTTCCTTGAGGTGGTGTTCCTATTCGACTATTCGTGTCGCATCCAACCGATGCTGTCTATTGTAAGAATTGTCATATGACTTCAAAGTGCTTTTATCACCAGCCAAGTTGCTTCTGTGCATTGTAGAAGTAGACTTCAGGGAAAATGTCTTTCTATTTGATTGTGAGCACTTTCTATGCAATCATTGCTAATCCCTCCATCTTATTATCGTCGGAAAAAAGTGCATACCAATAAACTTAAATTATTATTCGCTTGCTTTCCATTACATCAAGTTAAATATGCATATGAATTTGGGTGCATGAAATACTCTCCGTCATTTTTACCGATCTCTTGACCTCCACCACGGTTCTTCAAACTCAGGATAGTAACCGGGTCTAGGCACTGGCCTGAGAATCCAGGAGGATCTACGGCCGGTGCAGGCGTCTAGACATGCCTCCTTGCTGTAGAAACGGTTGCTAGTGCCACCACAACCACCGTAGTAAAAACGCTTGCAGGTGTTTGTGCTAGGGTCGTAGTAGAAGCTGGGAATATAAGCGCGGCACGGTCCAGAGTCGTGTGGCTCGAGGCAAGCCGGATGAATGGCGTTGGAAACTTTGAAAGTAAAATGGAAATTTG